AATAAATCTTTCAGATAAAGAAGACTAATGTGGACCTGAAGGCTTCAAACAAGAGTTTTAAGACTTGAGCAGGGCCATGTCAAATATGGAGGATTTGGATTTGCAGCGAGATGGTGAGCAAAATATTTAAAACGCAGGAAAGTACAAAAAAAAAAAGTAGGAATGAGCAGGGTTGAGAATGAATTTCTCTGTGAGGAAACAGGCATAGCTAGAACAGACAGCATGTGCTAGGAAAGAGTACATCAGAAGGCTGGGTGGGTAGAATGAGGTTGTATTGAGGAGGACCTTGAATGCTAGGCTGAAAAGTTTGAGATCTAGCCTGAGGATTGTGGGGAACCATTAGATGTTTTTCAGAAGGGGAATGAAGTAATGAAATGGATGATACTTTGAGGCCAGATTGGAGCAGGAGTAGACAGTATCATAATATCTTATGACTGAGGAATGGAAAGCATTCTGGAGATATTCTGGTGCAAAGCTCCTCATTTTCAGATGTGAAAGCTGAGGACACAGAGGCATAAATTAGTCCTAGATCAAAAGCAAGGAGTAATGCTGGAACTCAAACTCTACTGCTCTTTTCACTACACAGCATTATCTTAACTGGAGACAAGGTGACCAGGTAGAAAGTCATCATATTATTTTAACTTTTAAAATTTAAGTATTTCAAGTGACAAGCCATATTTGTGGCTCTAAGAGAGTGGCTATTTTTTTGTCAGCTTTCCATTTCTGCCTTCATTATGTTTACCTCAACTTAAAGTAAAAAGTAAAGTAACCTCGTCTCTAATCTTTTTCAAGGCTAGACTCCTATCACAAACCAGTTTCAGTGGACAAGGCAGTAAATTTCTAGTCAGGAAAGCCTGGATTCAAATCTTGCTTCAATCAGTTAATAGCTACATGACCCTCAGTAAAGTACTTAATATTTTGTCTTAGTTTAAAAAATGTATAAAATGAAGTGCTTGCACTTAATAGCCTCTAAGATCTATTCTGGCTCTTAATCTATGACCCTACGATCTTTCTTGGTCCATAAGGAAATCCAAGATTGCAAGAGGTAGAATCCTGGAAATTATTTCTTGTCTATGAGTCTTATCTACATAGGTTTGATCTCAATGCCCAGAGTATCATCATCTCTCATTTTGCTTCATTAACAAAACCTAGTACAGTGGCAGGCACATAAGAGAGACTCAGGGAAAAAATTGCTAAATTCAAATGAATGGAAATTGCCAACTGCTATGTCAAATTATACTGTTAAGAGGTAAATATCAAAGTGAAATGGTTGGTACTGGATAATTCAAAAGAAGTACAGATTGATGGAAAAGAATAGACTACATACTTAAAATCAAAAACATTGATGAACAGTTGATAACCCCCAAATTACAAAATACTGTGGAAATGAAAATTATTCAGAAAATGGAATAGCAATATGGAAAAAAAAAACTGGATTGGACCAACATTTCGCAAGAAATCATAGACTCTCAGAGTTGGAAAGATTCTCAGAGATTTTTAGTCCTACTTTCTGTGCAAAGAAAATCTCTTTATAACACCCCTGAGAACTGATCATCAAATCCCTGCTTGAAGACCTCTGGTAAAGGTCTTTAGAGGCAGTCATTCTACTTTTTTATAACTAATTGCTAAGGTTTTTTCCCTTTGATCAACCTAAATTTATTTCTCTGCAACTTCCACCCACTGGTCCTAATTTTTTATGGTACAGTGAAAAGCTCAATGGACAGATAGTCAGATGACCAGAGTTCAATTCCTATCTTGGCTATTAATCCGCCCTGAAATCCTGAAAAAAATCATTTGACCTTCTTGTACATTAATATTCTCATTTGTAAAGTTGATAAAAAATATGTACACAACTGACTTCACAGCATTATTGTAGGAAAAGGGTTTTATAGTGATTTAGAAATTATAAGTTTGGTAATATGGGGAACTGGATCAACTCTCTCTGGCCACTAAGGAGCCAACAGTGTTTAAAGGCTGACTTTTACTCCTGGTCTTGTAAACTGTTTTAAAGCCAGATGTCTTCATCAGGAAGTTTTTCTTTTGTGAAGGGTTACAATTTGCTTTGTGATAAATTAGCAGAGTGTCCTCTCATTTGAAGGCTCTTTTTCTAACTCATGAAAGGATGTTTCTCCCCTCCCAGATGGCAAAGATATATACTTAGAGAAACTGAAGTGCGTCTCCCACAGTGAAGCTCTGTCCAAGGTACTGGAGCAAAAAAAAAAGTCACCTGAATACATAGGCCTGGAAATGCCTACATTGGCTGTACGCTTTAGAACATCAGCTTATTATGCCTTTAGCATTTTCTATTTAAGCTTTATTGGCTGCCTGAAAGTCAGCACATTTTATTATGGCTTATAATAGTCATAATAACAATAATATCTCCACTTTGTACAACACTGTATAACCTTTTTTAAAGTAATATACAGTATGTCTCCCATGTTAGAAACCTTGGGCTATCTTTGACTCTTTCTTCTCCCCCATCTCTAATATCCAATCAGTTACCAAGGTTCTTAATTACATGTCTTCAATATCTTTCACATCTTTCCCTTCCTTTATTCCCACTTCTGTCACCCATGCTTAGGATCTCATTGCCATCTGCCTGAACTACTGTTAATAGCTTCTTATCAGGTCACATGTCCACTTTCTCTCATCTCCAATTCATAACTTTATGAATACAAATCTTCCTTATCCATAAATATGATGATGCTTTTTCTCTGCTCAAAAGTCTTCAATGGTTCCCTACAAATTCTTGACTAAAATTAAAACTCCTTTGCTTGTACAGATCTGACCATGATATTCCAGATATAGTTTGACTAGGGCAAAGACAGTGGAACCATCACATCCCTAGTCCTAAACTCCATGCTTCTCTTCACGAAGCTTAACATTGCACTACCTTTTTTGGACCTATATAACACTGTTAACACAATTAAAAGCCCAGATATTTTTTGAGATGAACTTCCATACATCTAGTCTAATTTCTATCTAGTTTAGTCTTCCATCATCTTGTGCAGTTCATTTTAGAACCCAATCAGTTCAGTTCAACAAGCATTTTCTTAAATATTGTCTTTTTAATTTTTTAGTTATTTAACTTAATTTTTTATTTTTTAAATAATGTATTAGTTGCTTGTTATGTGCTTAATACTGCGCTAAGTGTTGAGAATACAAATATATAGTTAGGCAGTCCCTGCATTCAAAGAGCACACATTCCTTTTTCTATTGTAATTACGCTTGGAAAATTTGGAAAAATTGGAAAAACACACACACACATACGCACCTATATATACATACATATATATATATATATACATATACATACACATGTATGTATGTGTATGTATATGTGCATCATATACAAATACATATAATATGCACATATACATACATATAAGAATAGTTATATATGTGTACACACATACATATATGCTGCATGCATGCATATTTGAGAACATCTTTTCCCAATTTTTGAGCACTGATTTTTTTTTTATCCCTTCTACAACACTCCCTCTCTGGGGGAAAAAAAATTCAAAACACTTGTAACCAATAAGTATAGTCAAGGAAAAAAAATTCCCACATTGACCATGTCCAAAAATATGTTGCTCATTCTGCATGTTTCTCCCTCACCTTTCTGTCGTGAGGTGGGTGACATTCCTCATCATCATTCCTCTGTAATCATAGTTGAGCATTGCTTTTGTCAGAGCTCTTATCTTTCAATGCTGGTCAATTTTTATAATATTAGTGTTACAGCATAAATTGTTCTTTTGTTCACTTCAGTCTGTATTGGAATACTAACTATTTTTAAAGTATGGTGCTAGGAGCTGAGCAACTTTACATTTTCCTGATTAAATTTTATCATGTCAAATTAGGCAAAGTAGTCTAAGCTATCTAGATCTTTGCCAATCCTGACTGTCACCCAATGTATGAGATATCTCTCTTCACTTTGTATCAGCTGTAATTTTATAAGCACACTTTGATAATCTATGCCTTTATCTAAACCATTGATAAAAATGTTAAGCCATGCAAAGCCAAGCACATATCCCTAGGACTTTGCAACATAGAGCTTCCAAATTGATACCTATCCATAATGACTATATCCAACCATCCAACAAATTCTGAATTAACTTACTTGTTCTGTTACCTAGTTCATATCTTTTCTAAATTACCTCTAAGAATGCCATGAGAAGCATTGTCAAACTCTTTACTAGAGCTAAGTAAATTATATCTCTAACAGTGTTCTGATCCACTGATTTAGTACTCTTCAGAAGAGAAACTGTTCTTGATGAAGCTATGTTTGCTTTTTTCTGATTAATGCTTTCCCCTGCCCAAGATAATCCTGAATGATCCTTTTATAAAATATTCTAGCACTTTGCCCTCATTACCTCCTGGCTAGATTATTGCAATGGTCTTCTAATTAATTTTGAAGCATTTGGTCTCTCTTTTCTCCAATCTATCTTCCATATAACTACTCAATTGATATGCCTAAATTCCAGGCCTGATAATGTCACTCCAGCCCTAAGAAGTCCAGTGACTCTTCCTTACTCTTAAAATAAAATACAACTTCTTCTGTTTGGCATTTAAAGCTTTTTGTAATATGGCTCCAGCCCTATGTTTCTAGGTTGATTGATTGAATATATTGTCCCCCACGTGCATTTTATAACTGCTTTCAGTTCTTTCTATATAGGATTCCCTCTCTCTCTCTTTGCATAGACTATTTCTCATTTTTGAAATTCTCTCTCTCTTCACTTCTGGTTCTTGGAACCACTAGCTCCCTTCAAACATTATCTCAAGGGATACATCCTTCAAGAGGCTGTTCATGATCCTCCCAGGTTCTACTTCCTCATTCAACTACTGTGCACTTTTTTTTGTAGATACCTTGTATGTACTTAATTCTGCACATTTTGTATACCTGTAGTATAATATAAGTTCCTTGAAATTAGGGACTGTATTACTTATGTATCTCTATCTCCAATACCTAGTATAGTATCTAGAACATTGTAACTTACCTACTGTGATTTCAGGGGCACAAATAAAGTCATTCTGTCCCCAAACACCTCCTGCTCGCTGATGATTGAAATTCACGATTAAAGTTTCATTGCTTTGATTAAAAGTGTCTTTCTTCCTGTTAAAATGCAAATATTCCTTAAAGACTAACACCACTTAAGTCTTATTAGTCATTTATATCTCTTTGTGAATAAATTTATTAGATCCTTTCCTGAGAGAAGGGTATAGAGAATGCAGGCTGGAGAGAGGAGGGCATTGGGTGTATCTGAGTGGACAAAGGGAAGGGTTAGCACCAAAGCAGTGAAATATTAGGAAGCAGAGAAGGAAGGCTGTAGCTGCTGGAAGACAAACTTTGTCTCCGCAATTTGCTAAGGTTCTCCCTGACTCTTTCTCTTGATTTCAGAACTTACCCTTTTAGAGCTATGTAAGTTCTTTCTCTCCTTGATAGTTTCTATTGTTTTTAAGATTATTTTTTTTTCTCCATCTGCAACCAAAGTCTTATTTACCTCCAGACCAGGCACCTGAACTTCTGGGATCTAGATCTGCTTAGTTTTTCCTGGAAGAAAACAGAGATTCAACTTACATTTATCTAAAATACAAACAACAACAAAAACTCAGTCAATTCCTATTTCAGTCCTTTCACATAAAAGGCAACAAACATCAGCAGACATAATGATTTCTGTTAGTCATAATCATTTGCATTAATAGTCCCTACAGTATCTTGTTAGGTCCTTACACTAACCTTATTATTGGGTTTGAACCCAGCTCTTCAAACTGCAGTTTGAGGGCTGTGACTCCACCCATTACATCCCCTACTAAACAAGCAATAGGATTGGTTTAGAACATTTTGAATAATCACTAGACAAACTAAATCTAAGTGAGCTTTTCAGTACCTTTCTAAAGGAAATAGGCCTAGCAATTAACATGCACAAATTAATCTAGATGAAGAATACATATAGCCTATTATAACATGCAATTAGATATGTAGCCTGCTGAGTTAGGAGGAGTGGATTTAGGAGGGAAAGAATAGGAAGAGGAAATTGGGATAGATCACATTAGGACAACTATACAGTACCTTCAATAACTTTAAGCTAATCCCTGCTGCAAAATCTCATCTTTTTTTAACACCAGTTTTCTTATAATTATATTACATGGTGGTAGATCAGAGAAGAGAATGATCTTTGAAGAATCAAATTGCAAGTGACTTAAAGCACAATGGAAATATGCATATGGGTGTAAATAACTTATGACACATATGGTGATTCATATACAAGTAGTGACATAAAAGGTATTTTTAAGGATATATAGGATTGGAAAATGAAGTCGTTCAGTAATGCAGTAAGAGGGAGGGCTAACAGATTGGCAGGCCAGGTGATGTTCTCATATTTGTAAAATGTTAAAAGAGAATGAATGGTAGAAGTACTGCTGCCTGCAGTGTTGGAGGAAGAACTGAAATTCATGTGGCTATAGACCCATTAAGAAATCAATGTACGTTTAGACAAATACCTTTTTTTGTCCTCCAGGTTAAGATTCAAATGGCTAGTTATGTCCAATTTCTTCTTTGAGTGTGTTTTTCGATATGGAAAATGACTATGGTTTAACTCGAAGGCTTTTAAGGATCAGGGAACATAGCTTCTATTTTTCTTTTGAATTAGTACCCATTGTTCACAGAGAGTATCTCTTTCTAGGCAAAATGTTTGCTTTGTTTTCCTTTAGTCTTTTTACAGAATCATAGACTATCCGAACTAGAAGAACATAGAACATAGGAAATCAGAATGAAAGAGAATGAATAGCATAAAATATGAAATAATATTTGGAAGAGGGCATAAAAATATGGGACATGAAATCTATGACTGAGAGAAAGCTTGCCAAATTGAACATAAAATTTGAGAGTTAGGAGGCAACCTAGGACATAGAATTCCTACATTCAGTTCAATTAATGTTTATTTATTAAGCATATACTGTGCATAAAATCCTGTGCTAGGCCTTAGATATGTAAAGGAGTTATGATATGTACCATGCTTTCAAGAAATTTACAATAAAGGTACAGCTATTTTGGACTTGATTCATAGCATTAATTAATCTATAAGAATTCAGTAAGTGCTACAATGTTGTAGATACTGTGCTAGGCATTGGAGATATAGATACATAAGTAATACAGTCCCTAATTTCAAGGAACTTATACTGGAGGGATATAAAATGTGCAGAATTAAGTACATACAAGGTATCTACAAAAGAAGTGCACAGTAGTTGAGTGAGGAAGTAGAACCTGGGAGGGTAATGAACAGCCTCTTGAAGGATGTATCCCTTGAGATAATCTTTGAAGGGAAGCTAGTGGTTACAAGAACCAGAGGTGAGGAGGGAGAGAATTTCAAAAATGGGGAAGATACTATGCAAAGAGAGAGAGGGAATCCTGTATAGAAAGAACTGAAAGCAATTATAAAATGCATGTGGGGGACAATATATTCAATCAATCAACCTAGAAACATAGGGCTGGAGCCATATTACAAAAAGCTTTAAATGCCAAACCGAATGAGATGTATTTTACTTTAAGAGTAAGGAAGAGTAACTGGGCTTCTTAGGGCTGGAGTGACATTATCAGGCCTGTAATTTAGGCATATCAATTGAGTAGCTATATGGAAGATAGATTGGAGAAAAGAGAGACCAAAAGCTTCAAAATTAATTAGATGACCATTGCAGTAATCCAGCCAGAAGGTAATGAGGGCAAAACACTAGGATATTTTATAAAAGGATTACTCAGGATTATCTTGGGCAGGGGGAAGCATTAATCAGAGAAAGCAAATGTTTCTCATGATATTCTTAGAGGTAATTTGGAGATGATATGAACTAGGTAACAGTACAGGTAAGTGAATTCAGAATTTGTTGGATGGCTGGATACAGTCATTACGGATCCGTATCAGTTTGGAAGTTCTATGTTGCAAAGTCCTAGGGATATGTGCTTGGCTTTGCATGGCTTAACATTTTTATCAATGGTTTAGATAAAGGCATAGATTATCAAAAGTGTGCTTATAAAATTACAGCTGACACGAAGTGAAGAGAGATATCTCATACGTTGGGTGACAGTGAGGATTGGGAAAGATCTAGATAGCTTAGACTACTTTGCCTAATTTGACATGATAAAATTTAATCAGGAAAATGTAAAGTTGCTCAGCTTCTAGCACCATACTTTAAAAGTAGTCAATATTCTAATGCAGACTGAAGTGAGCAAAAGAACAATTTATACTGTAGCATCAATATCATTAAAATGAACAGTTTGGAAAGATAAGAGCTCTGACAAATGCAACGCTCAACTATGATTTCAGAGGAATGATAATGAGGAATGCCACCTAACTCACGACAGAGAGAGAAACATGCAGAATGAGCAACATGTTTTTGGACGTGGTTAATGTGGGAATTTTTTTTCCTTGACTATGCTTATTGGCCACAAGTGTTTTGAATTTCTTTGTTTTCCCCAGAGAGGGAGGGTTGTATAAGTAGTAAGTAGCAGAGTAGAGGTTTAATCTTAAGTGCTTTAACTCTAAATCCAGCACTCTTTCCACCATGCTACGTTGCCTCCCTTATGGGAAGAGTTGAAGATGACACTGAGATTGTAAACCTTCTTGATGAGAAAAATGATAATACCTTCAAAAGGAACAGGAAAGTCAAGAAAAGTGGAAGAATTACCAAGAGAGGAAACCAGTTCTGCTTTGGACACATTTGTTTGAAGTGTGTGTGGGACATCAAGTTCAAAATGTCCAATGGTCAGTTAGTTGTATGAGATTGCTGCTTAGGAGAGAGAGTAGGAATGAATGTGCAGATTTGAGAGTTGAATTAAGTGAAATTAAGTCCATGGGAGCTGGTGAAACCACTAAGTGAGAGAGCATAGAATGAAGAAAAGAGGGAACAATAGAGGTGAGTGAGTATGTTTGTATGTGCTTCGTGTGAGAAGGGTATTGATGTTCTTACATTCTTGAAGTTATAGCCACAGAAGAAAGTTCCAAGGTTCTGGGTGGTGGGAACAAAATTGAGAAGCTAGTGGCTACCTGGCTACCATGCTGACATGATTATGGATGTAGAACTCGAAAAATAATAGTAAATACAGTATATGTTTCTATAAGCCTTTATAGTTTTAGAAATGCTTTCTTTACAATAATTCTGTAAGTAAGTAGTGTGAGTGATGTTATCTCAATTTTGAAGGTGGGGAAACTGAAATGAGTATAGGTGAGGTGATCTTCATGGTCACTGAGTTCACAAGTGTCAGACCTGGAACCCAATCCCAGGCTTTCTGATTTCTCAGCCTGGCATTCAGATCTCTCTACAACATGGATCTCACCTGCATTTCTAATCTCATTTCTCATTATTCCCTTTAATTCAGCACTGGCCCAAAGGTGAATATTCACATCAGAGTCTTACTTTGTTTTGATATCGAAAAGGCTTAGTAGGTCATGATGTTTCATATGATTACTGTACTGCTCAAAAGCCTCCTACGACTTCCACCTGACTGGATGATGAAGTCCAATGTTCTTTGTCTTTCATTCAAAGTCCTGTGCAGTCTAGCCCCAATCCACCTTTCCAAATTTATTTGTCACATATGCAACCACAGTGATCCCACTGTTTTCCCAAAATTCATTGCATATTACTATCATTTAGCTTTTCTTAGTACTATTCCTTCTTCTTAAATACTCATTCTGTCTTATCAAATTCCTAACTATCCTTGGAGGTTCAGATTAAGTCCAAGAAACCTTCCCTAAGCATTCCTAATCAACAGGGAGCTCTCTTTCCTCCCCTTTATTATACATAATACTTACTTAGTGCTTAGTATGGTTTGTCTGCTATTATTATTAATTAATTCACTTAACTTCACATTTATTGATGCTGCTACAATACATAATACTTTGCTTGGTACAAAATATATATGTCTTATAGCCATGAAAGTGCTGGTAAATATTTAACAAGTAGCTCTCTGAAAAAAAATATGTGCACAAGAAACACTTTTAAGTTTAATCTACATTATTAGCATTTTCACCATTATTTTGTTAATCTAGACAATGAACAAAACAATGAATCAATCCCTGAATTGTAGCTAATTTCCAAGGTGTAAATGCTCTCACTAAAAATTTAACAAGCAGCTCAAGGAACCTGGTATTAAATGGCTGCAGCACCCCCTGATTGTATCCCTGGTATAATTTTATAAATTCCTTGAGGGCAGAGACTTATACTTCCTGTAATTACTCTATGTGCCTAGTGTGCTATTTTATACATAGTAAGTATGCTGTAAATATTTGATCACTATTCAAATATTTCAAGAAAATTAACTGCAGCTCAGGTTCCAACTTACCTAAGAAACCTTCTTAGATTCTCCCCAGCTGGTAGTGCCTTTTAAAAATTTTCCTAAAATCCTTTAGATCTCTTCTTTGCTTCTGTCACATCTTTCCTTTTAGCACACTAAATTAAATAAGTAGTGTATTCCCCACGTCACCGTGAGTATTGTAAGATACTTGAGTGCAAGGATTGTGCATTTTTTAAAATGATTGTATCTTAAGAAAAAACACAGAA